CATACGATCTTTTCGAGGAGCCAACGGAGAAGAAAAACAGCTCTTTTCAACACGGAAGTGAATAGATTCCGAGCATGCCTATTGTATCAAGACAACTTCTCGTGTGAAACGCGTCTATATTGGATGAAATGTGAAGCTCGTTGTTTAAATTAAACGATATTATTCCAAGGGTATACACTTTATAAACCAAAATAGTGCCGAAATTTGTTCATCCCGTTTTCAAGAACGCATGAACATGAATAGAAAGGTACCGTGTCTACCACCTATATTCTGACGTACAAGCTGAAATGTTCCAAATCCAGCCATTTCCGGTAAATATGAATTCTTTAAACTAAGTTTTTGAAACTCGAGCCCTATTTTACCGGCACAATCAACACAACAACGAGACCTCGTGCATGCAGAGGCTCAGTATCTTGCACTAAATACAGTTTTGAAGCTTGTTACTATAAAAGTTAGGTTTACCTTTCAAAATTAACCATAACACTAAAAATACCTCAATTTTTTTCTCCTCCCATGCCGATTTTTTTTTCCAATTGTAAATTACTAAAACAGGCTACATATAAGTCAAAGCACGGTAAATGTATTAAGTTTATTAATTGACTATAATCAACACAGTGAAGAGATGTTTCAAAAAATATAACTCTTATCTTTTCACCTCTAGTAGATTAAGCATTAGTTTGGACAGGTTTCAATGATATATACTACAATAAATACAAATCTTACACTTCAAATTGCATAGTTTTGCTAAGGAGTACACTGTGAAAACACAAGAAACGAAATTAAAATTGCCGAGATTGCTTGCTCTAGTCAGCATTTACCCGGCAAGCAGAATCTTACACGGAATCCTAAGCTCATATTTCCGGTAAATTTTGAAAGTGTTCCTGTGCTGTTTGTAAGCAGCATGGTAGACTTCTTACATTTATTTTCCAATCGTACTAGTGTAGCATTCTTAATGTTTATTATTTTATCATTATTAATATATTGTTATCTTCCTTATAAATAACCCATTTAGATACGGCTAAAAAGTCCTGGCAACTCAGAAATTTTGAGATACAAGAGGAAGTCTGAAAAAGCACATATTTGGCAGCAGGTGAAAAATTCTGCCAACACTCCACGGAACTTGCTACCGGTTCGTTTTGGAACTCTAAGTGGAATAAAGTTTTCTTCTTGTTTGATTTTTTGAGTCTGTATCGACTTACGCTATTTATTTGTGCATTTCTTGCCAACTCAATTTAAATAGTACATAAAGAGGAAACGCTAACTAGTACTAAACTTGATACTCCACATACTATGAAGCTATAACCAGGCAAAGTTCTTCCACATAATCGTTAATAGGTTTCGAAACTGAGTACCTTAGTTAAAAAATGTATTATATTGAAAAAGTGTGTGTAAGATGATCAAGGAGCCTCTTAAAGAGCTTTCACGATAATTAATAAATTGACAGTTGCGTCTCACGTCGAACATTTCGGGAAATAAAAGAACAAACGCAGAATATTTAATTAGATATGTTAATAAATTGAATCTTATATCAAACTACATAACAAACTATCACCCTTAAACTCATAACAAACTATCACCCTCAAACTACATAACAAACTATCACCCTCAAACTACATAACAAACTATCGACTTGTAGCATTTGTAGATTTCTCTAAATTATTCTGTTTAAGTTAACTTGAAGTGTAGGATTTTTTATTATAATCACATAATTCAGCCCGAAATCCTTAAAAACTCCAACTTGGACTCAGCATAACAAACAAAATCAAAGCTACGAATCTGAGATTAAAGAAATTTCGATACTATGCCACAAAAAATACAAAACCGATAACCGAACATATAAGATTACATAAAATGAGACTAAACAATTCAAACTTTATAGGATAAAAACATAATTATATAGGAATAAGAAGTAAACTAACAACTGTTTGTGTCATCAATTTTAGCGTAGTATTCGTGGCTATTTATTCGACTCCTAACAAATATGTAAACCGTTATTTTTATCATACTTTCCATTACAAATTACTTATAGAATACTCAACATTACAATCGTAGTTTCATTAAGAAATAATAAAAAATGTATTATGTAGTTACCTATAGGAGCCATCTCTACAGTTGTATTGATAAAAAATAATGTTTAGAACGTAAATTTTTGCTACTATTATCTTAGAAATGATTTTTGTGTTGATGTAAAAAGATTTTATTACTTGTTTTGCAAAACTGAATTTTGTACCGATTATACGGATATGCCTTTCATACACGATTCGAATATGGCATCCCCAATCATATTCGAACTTAAGCTCACCCCAGATATTACGCGTGGGTTATCCATTTCCATCGTAAAACGTAGCACGTGTGACTATTTTTATAATGATGCTATTAACAAATATTGTTGTGCTGACAAAACGAAACAAAAACTGTTTCTTCATTACGACCAGTTCACTAAATAGTAGAACTAGTATATAAACATTAGATGTCAACCTCATTGGACCGACATTTCTCTAAACTGCAGTTCTCAGTTATAGTAGTGGTGCAAACGTGTATGTTTCATATTACAACTCAACCCACTGAGAGATGCAAGAAATTCCGAGTGTGAATAGCCTTGACTTATTTCACACGTATATCTTGCTTTCTGAAAAAAGTTCAAGTCATAGCCACAAAAAGGGATCCACTATAACTTGCTTAGTTTAGTCTTAAGTAAAATGAAAACAACATATTACCTCAACCGAACTATAGTGACGATGAACAAGAACTTAAATCATTAGTGTATTCATAGACATTGAAGTCCATTTAATTTGCTGAATAACTCCAGGCAGCGAGATATAATTATAATAATCAAAAAACAACTTACGTTAGCTGCGTTATTATGTACTAAGTAAATCAAATTTCAGATTGAAATAAAGATCAAAACTGAGCCAGCCTACTGAACCAGGCCACTCATAGAAGAAAAAGAAGTCCAACCTGTTACGTACGCTAAACTGTACGAGTAAAATCATAAGGACAGAATTACAGGAACCTAGTGGATTAGTAAAGTCGTAAGGACAGAATTACAAGAACCTGGTGGATTAGTAAAGACGTAAGGGCAGAATTACAAGAACCTGGTGGATTAGAAAAGTCGTAAGGACAGAATTACAGGAACCTGGTGGGTTAGAAAAGTCGTAAGGACAGAATTACAGGAACCTGGTGGATTAGAAAAGTCGTAAGGACAGAATTACAGGAACCTGGTGGGTTAGAAAAGTCGTAAGGACAGAATTACAGGAACCTGGTGGGTTAGAAAAGTCGTAAGGACAGAATTACAAGAACCTGGTGGATTAGAAAAGTCTTAAAAGACTTAAAAGAGCCTAGTGAATCAGGTAAGCGATAAAACTAAAAACAGACAGTCATCTTGTCACACACACATATTTTCATTACATTTGCAAACAGAGACTAATAGTATTTTATCAGTTAAGCATAATTTTTTTATTTAAATTTTCAAGTCAGCGATATGTATCTAACTTAAAAAAGCTACTTGTTTGTCGTTTATTCAATACAAAGACATCAATAACCAATGATTTATCCAGCTTCCTTGCATTGATACTTAGAATATCAATACTTCACTCTTTTGATTATATCCAAAATGTAATAAACGTCCTTTGAAAATAACCTTGAGTTATATTAAGTGATTGCACAACAACACGACATGTTAGCGCCATTTTTTTTTCTTTCTAAAACTATAAAATTCATGTTTTGAAATAAAACTTTTCTAATAAGAATATTTATTTTAAGCATATCGATCTCGGGGAAAATTTGTAAGAAATAATGGAAAACAGAAATTAAGACGTACAGCAGAAATGACAAAATATTCGTATTTTGGTCTCTTACAAATCAATATTCTTGACATGTACTTGCTATAATCTAAACGAAAGCAACCTTAACCGTCTATAAGAGCTCGAGTTTACCAAACAATCACTAACCGTTGCATCTTTGTGAGTTTACGTAACATAATGTTCCCCCAGCTGTCAGCCCAAAATTCAAATAGAATTTTGACAAGCTGCCTCGCCAACGTTTCAAATCGTTGTAAATATCTCAGTCATAACTACTTGCAGCTGTTTTACCTTCACACTTATTTATGATAACCATTCATTAATAGGCAAGGGTTCGAAATGTTCTTTCACTGCTTAATTAATGTTTTCTTTTAATGTTTGCATTTGTGGTGGTGGTGGGGAGGGATTGAAGTGGTTGGATATAAGTAGGAATGAGAAGATTTGTTTGTTGTTAAACACAAAGCCACGCATTGGGCTATCTGACACTTCACACCGCGGGTATCGAAATTCAATTTTTAGCGTTATAAGCCTTCTAACTGACTGTTGATACACGTTGGGGCGGAGTGAAGGGATATCGCATACTTATGCAGAAACAAAGTTCGAACTCTGCATACTAAAAGAGCATACAAAACCTGATAATTTTAAACTCAGAAGTCGACGACCGAACTTTAGTTTTCGAAATATACCTAAAAGTGGCGATGCGAACCTTTCTCCCGTCATAATACTTATTGGAATTAGAATAGTGTTCGTATTAATGTTGGCTGAACGCGGCCCAGTAGTTAGCATGCTGGACTGTGGATCCAAGGTTTAATCTCCATTACTGAAGAAAAACAAAAAGCGCTCCGAACTTTAGGGCCACCGGTTCTTTATAAGAGTGACAGTCAAACCCCATTATTCAATTAGAGTAACCCAAGAGTTTGCGTTGGATGATTTTGACTAACTAACTACCTCCCTCTAGTTTACTACTTCTAACTTAGAGACGACTAGCGCAGATAGCCCTTGTGTAGCTTTGCGCAAAACTAAATAAACAAACAAGTTAATTAACATAAAAAGTTATAGTTTTACAATTCATTTTTAATAATAAGTGTTATTTATATTTATGTCTTTGATTTTAAAAAAATAGTTACTTGAAGCAACACTAAGGACAGAAAAGGATCCTCGTGCAAAACATACATGCTTTGTAAGAAAGGACCGACTTACTTGTGCCATTTACGTTGCGTGACATCATTCTATTTCCCAGGTACCCAGTGGGTACAAGAGGGGGTGGGGGCGGCCCTGTGGGGCCTGGTCCTGGACCAGTAGTGGCTGTGGTGTCGGATGTGGATGGCACAGCACAATGATTCATCAACTCACGAACTTGCTCCATCGGCGGTGTAGCACAGAAGGGCTGCAAGGTGCCCACAAAAAAAGGAAAGAACGCCAGAGTCAGGCACTTGTTTAGGCACTCAAGCAAGGAATAAAAAATAAAACTTCATGAACAAATACAAGAAGGGCTGCGAGATTTTCCGAGAATCTAGAAATTATGAGATTATCTCTAGTGGTTAATAAAATATTTCCAGTAAAAGAAAGGAAAAAGTAGGGAAGTATATTGTAACATGCTACTATCATTGTCAGCAAAACCCATTCACACGTGTGTAAAGTAAAAATAGCCGTTTAATTAACAGCTGGCTTACAGGCCTTGTTTTACTTCATACAAAAGCTAAGACTATCCCATCACTCAGTCTTCCCGTTTACAAACCTGCGACAATTCAAATGCACCATCGTTTGCTATCAGTTCAATGTGTCAGCGAACAAAAGGTTTGCGAAACAAATCTGACTTCTAGATGAAGTTTTTTTTCCGTGTCGATATTTTTTTTTTTACATAAACTCAGAACCACAAGTTTAGTTATGTTCCGCTTGATTCAAAAATGCCCCTGATCTTGGTGCGAACAGAAGCTGTATTTATCTGTCCTTAGATCAAAGAACAGTCAGCGTACGGTGAGTAGAAGAGAAAGACTGACTAAAAGTGCGAGCAAGGCTTGGAGAGGTTGTGGAACGTACTACGGGTTGCGGATCCGTCTTTTGACTGGCTGATTCGCAAGTGGCTAGTAAACTACTCTTCACTCTCGAGATGCTACATACATACATGCATGTATCAATAACACATGTATTCTGTGGTATTCATCACAGGTGGGTGAAGACTATAAAATGAGCTCTATATTGCGCTCGTATGAAAGATTCTTAATAGCCGAAAACTAACGAACAACAATAAATAAAACTTAGCAATATTAACAATCTATTACCTCTCAAATAACAATGGAAACAAGGATGTTTAAAATCGAAAATCTGAATTTAACAAAAATGAAATATACATGTAAAAAACAAAAATTCACAAAACTGAAGTTAAAATTGGAAACGAAACATGCAAATTAAGCACTTCTATATATTTTAATTTTATTAAGCAAACACGAAACAACGAAAAATTGGCATAAATATGCAAGATTACTCTTTTGACATACTGTCTTCCATTAGGTGATATATTCGTAAACATCGCATAACAAAAATTATTATCTGTAAATAAAAGAGCTCTTACATGCTATACTCAGGACGCAAAAAGGAAAAATAAAACAGTAGAAATCGACCCTCAATGTAAAGTTAACAGATAACCCTAAAACTTGTACACACATGGTTCATTGATCGTTTCTGAAATTCGCCCAAAGCTACACAAGGGCTACCTGCGCTAGCTACCTCCGGATTTGAACTGGTACTCTTGGGGTACTGTAATCGAACAGGAGGTTGTAATTGTCACTCTTATAACACAATCACAAAATTGTGGAGTCCTCTTTCTTTTTCTATTTATCTGTGGCAATGGGATAAAAACAATAAATTCTCGGTTTCACAGTATGGCATGTTAATTACTGGGGTCACACCCAACCCTGTTATACAAATTAACCCATAAAATAAACTGCCTTCATCCAAAGCTATCAATCTAGACAGATTTGTTCCGTAAATTTCTTTTATCACCTCACTAATAATAAGAGCCAAATTCGGGATGGTTAATAGCTTTCCTATGACATTACTAAGAAGCAAATAGCAAAACAAAACGTCTGTGAGTCAACCACTTTCAGGGTTAACGACTACAAAACTTTTGAAGATTATTATACATGAATTACAGTTTGCAAATTCCGTAACGAAATGTCAAGGTTTTTTTTGTTTCTGGCTATTGCAAGAAAAAAATGAATTTCTCATGAGATGTACGCAGATTAAATAAACATCATGTGTTTACAACAACAATATTATTAGGATTATTTAAAATTACGTTTTGTTTCAGTCAAAAATGAGAGAATCATGCAGAACATCAATAAAGATTATGTAAGGAGTCTGGGGCTAGGGAGTTTTTTTTTTTTTATTCATCATCATTACTATTACCAATATATATATATATATATATATATATATAGGGCATATTTATTACACGACTTTATACGTTATGCAAAGGTTCTCTTTTACTAGTGCCTCTTAAATTAATTAAAAAATAAATAAATAATTTTACAAAAGATAGCTCCCTCTAGAACAAAATTACTTTTAACTTTGCTAGATTAAATAACACATTTTACAAGAATACAGTGACTTAATATTTGTATATTCTTTTTTTAAAAAAGCAAAAATCATTATTTAAATTTTAAAATACTTTGTTAAGAATCATATGTTTACTTAATTCTCTAGTATAATCAAGTCAAGCCCATCCTACGCCTAGAAGACGCGTAAAAGCCGATGGTGAAATCCGGTTCTCACAAGCGGCGAAACAAATTTGAATTTGGGGATGCTCCAACAATTGGAGCACTTTATTTACCATGTTAAATGTGACCAATAAATTGATAATTGAAACAACTTTTTACCGGTCTAAATTAGAAGGCACATGCACCAGTACACCCCCCCCTCCCGGTTTCTACGTCTATGCCGGTTCCATCTGGAGGGAATGCCAACCCATCACAAGTTAACCCCAGCTAACCGGTGGTACCATAACTTTGAAGTAATGGGGTAGAGGAAAGATAGATATTCAACACTGCCCACCTTCAAATCATGGGCTGTTCTAATCGAATAAAGTGATTTGACTATCACTTTTAACATAACAAAAAAACAACAACAGCCAATTAATACATTTCATAAACCAACAAAAATATTATATTCAATAATTTATGTTGGTGATTTACTCTACCTTTTCACATCTGATTAGTGTTAAAGTTTTTTAAATGATTTGTTTATTTGTTTGAAGTTAAGCACAAAGCTAAACAATGAACTGTCTGTGCTCTGCCCACACTGTCAACACCGAGAGGTGCAAAATCGGGAGACTTTTGTGGAGGCACTGCAACAGCGAGTAGCGTCCCCCCCGGGGGGGGGGGCCATGCTCCACCAGAAAATTTAGAGAAAAAAAAAGGGGTTACTTTTGTGCATCCTTGGGCACTTCAGACATTTATTTACACTTATAAGATTGAAATGATGTTTTATTTCTTTTTTTTTTTTTTTCATTTACAGTAGCCATATATACTAAGAGAATCACAGTCATCTGCTAATATTGTTCAACACTTTTATTGTGAGAATTCAAAAATAGAAAAAATACACATATCCTGATTTTTTGATTTTTTTTTTTTTTT